AATACTGCAAAACTAACTTCAGGCGCTCCATAATTTCATGAGTAGATAAGTTCAAACAACAAACAGCTTCTGCTTTACAAGATGATGACACAAGCACGTGTGATACGAGTAGGTCTGATTATTTCTAACTGAACTTCACACGTGAGCTTATTTCCTCAATTTTAAAGTAAATTAGCAGGTTCCATTAAGTGTGCAGACATACCAGTCATGAAAGTCCTTCTAGAGTGTGCGAGGGAGGAGGTACGCATGAATCACTTGACACCTGAACAGTGTGACCACACCCTGGGTCTTTTGCATTCCGATAAAAGCTCACAAGGAAAAGACAGCTGCAATGGAACTACTGTACCTAGTTGGGCTTTAGCATACGTTTGCGCACACTATATACAGTGCATATAAAAGGTCTACACCCAACCCAGTACAAATGCCAGGTCTTAATGTGGTATAAAACAATGAGAGCATCTCACTACTCTTTTAATCGTTATTCTGATGTACAACATGTACAAATCTAATTATTTTAAAAAAATCAATAAATAAAATAATCTACTTAGAAAATATGGTTGTATGTGTGCACACTCTCCAAACACATTCTAACTCATTTTGAATGATAGTCAGCACACACCTGCCACCACCTGACTAAACTAAATCCCAGCCATTCTTCAAGGACTTTTCCCAAGTATTTTCTGCAAACAGTGACCACTACTTTGAACTGTTCACAATTCTTTCAAGTGTGTTTAAAGCTGAGGTAATAAATTACCAGAACATAATGCTGCCACTATACAATAATCCATCCCTTATCTGAGTCGCTTTTCCTCATGAGGGCCACGGGAGTGCTTGAGCCTATCCCAGCGGTCTTCGGTTGGTAGGCGGGGTACACCCACAACTGGTCGCCAGGCAATTGTGGGCCACAGTGACAACCATTTACAAATTGGGGCACACTGACATACATTCACACTCATAGTTACAAATAGGGACAATTTAGAGTGTACCGTGCACATTTTTGGAATGTGGGAGGAAACTGTAGTATCCGAAGAAAATCTACACAGGTATGGGGAGAACACAGTAAGGCCAGAGACCAGACTCAAACCCACAAGTTCTGCACTGTGAGCTGGATTTGTGTGAACCAGGTGGCCATCGTGCCACCGCCGTTTGAAATTATAGCCAATGCATTTAATTTTCATTTCATTCAACGGTAATAAATTTTTCCAAGCGTAGGGCTCTGGCCTGACTTTTACTAGGAGCACAGTGGCTGCTCTTGGGGTGAACATTTAATTTCCTCGAAGAAAATATTCACATCACACTTCAATACTTTCGGGGCCAAGTGGTTAAAAGCCTCACCTGGCACCGCATGGACCCGTCTCAACCAGTAAATGCAGCAAACAATGTTTTCAATTCATATTTCATCCACCCATTTCCTGATCCGCTTATCCTCACAAGGGTCGCGGGGGTGCCGGAGCCTATCCCAGCTGTCTTCGGGCAGTAGGCAGGGGACACCCTGAACTGGTTGCCAGCCAATCGCAGGCAATATCATTCCCACTAAGTAACTGGTGCCAGAGCAGGTCACAGTATCAGTGACCAGAATGCAACTCTTTACAGGAAACTTTTTATTGCACAGCTTCCTTGATGTTTTCTTGAAGTACATCCACTGCCAGAGTTGACACATTTGAAACTAAGAGGACAGGTTTGAGAATGTCGGTATCTTGTAGGCGGTCGGCATTCATTGATGCTTTACTGAAAGTGAAAATGTTCTTAAAACAGCCTTAAAACAGCCAGTATGTTGAACAACTCTTTTGAAAAAGTGATTCTTCGGTTCAAATCTCATTGTCCAAAGATGAACAAGCGGTCCAAAATCTTTGATCAGTTGCGGGTAATGCTCTAGCTACAGGGGTGTTAAACTCAGGTCCTGGAGGGCCGCTGTCCTGCATGTTTTCCAAGTCTCCCTGTTGCAACACACCTGATTCAAATGATCAGCTCATCAGCAAGCTCTGCGGAACCCTGACATTGAACCTGTTCATTTGGATCAGCTGTGTTGCAACAGGGAGGCTTGGAAAGCATGCAGGACAGCAGCCCTCCGGGACCTGAGTTTGACACCCCTGCGTCTAGCAGATGATGCTTTGCATCTGGGAAAACCTGCAAGAATCTATGCCTACATGTGTTCTGATATTTTAACATCTCGGTACCTAAATGTGTCATCGGTGTGCGATGGGGAAACTAAAATTTCAACGTCTTTCAGATCCATTAGAACATGCCATTCTAGTTCACTTTCAGGCACTTTAAAAACAATGACGATGGGGAGCAGACTTAAAAGGCACCAATTTTCATGAGCATTTTCATCTAGACTCCTTTGAACTGCAAAATTCAGTGATATAGTCTGTGGGCTGTCAGCTTTGTCACTCCACTTACAGGGGAAATGTTGAACCCTTTCGGGGACAGCGGTTACTACAGTGGGCATATGATCATTTTAGCAGGTTACAGGTTGTTATCATTATTGGTGCATGAAAGGGTTAATAAACGAATTTAGATGAATTAAAGTACTTCTTTATCAAGACATTTAGGCAGAGAAAAAGTCAACTCCAAAAAGATGATGGAGCAAGTCTGGTGGATGTCCTGACATAAATTGAAAATGTTTTAACTTGTCAGTCATGGCACACCGTCTTCACACCGAAGCAGTGAATGAGAGTCTGACTTTGTCGAGCTGTTTGGACAAGACGAGCATGCTCTTGCAAGGTTCTTGCCTGAAAAGATCCAGTTCTTACTTCTTTTTTTTTAACTCAGCAAGTGATCCCAAACAGTATCTACAGATGTCAGACCCAGAAAAGCTTTCCAAAAACAAGCCACCAAAAGAATGGGCACCTAAATTATCAGCTATATTACACTTTCCAGGTCAAGGTCAAGGTCATCTTTATTGTCGAATATGCTTTATGTATAACATGCAGCACAGATGAAATTTCTTTCCTCTCAATCCTCGGTGCAAACATGCTGTGCATTAACCACACACAGCTAAGATAAGATAGCAACTACACTGTATAAAAAGACATAATATGTAATCTGAACAATACAAACAATATCAACAATATAACAATGGCACTTGTGACTAGTGTAGGTAAAGTGAGGTAGTGCATTGTGCAATACGCAGATGTCAGATGCTGAGGGGAGGGTCATAGTCTGTGACAGGAGGCAGGGGTTGGGCAGAGGCGGAGGGCGGGCAGTGTGGGCAGAGCAGGGAGGGGGTTGAGTCTCCTGACTGCCTGGTGGAAGAAACTGTTTTTGAACCTGCTGGTTCCAGCACAGAGACTCCGCAATCTCCTCCCCGACGGCAGCAGGCCGAAGAGGCTGTGAGATGGGTGGGTGGGGTCACCTGCGATCCAGATGGCTTGGCGGGTCAGACAAGAGTAGTAAATGTTCACGAGTGGGGGGAGAGAGACACCAATGATCTCTCAGCTGCTCTCATGGTGCGCTGCAAAGTCTTTTGGCAGGACACAGTGCAAGCGCCATACCACACAGTGATGCAGCTGGACAGGATGCTCTCAATGTTGCCTGTATAAAATGTCTGCATGTTGGGGGGGGGGCGGGGCTCTTGCTCTCCTCAGTTTGCGGAGGAAGTACAGGCGCTGGTTGGCTTTTTTGGCCAGTGATGAAGTATTGTGGCTCCAGGACAGGTCTTCAGAGATGTGCACTCCCAGGAACTTGGTGTGGCTCACCCTCTCCACTGTGGCACTGTTAATGGTCAGTGGAGCATGCTGGGAGTGCGTCTTTCTGAAGTCCACAACAATCTCCTTTGTCTTCTCCACATTCAGGTGGAGATTGCTGTCTTTGCACCACAAGGCCAGCCTGCTCACCTCACTCCTGTAGATTTGTCTCATCGTCGTTGTTGATGAGACCCACTAGTCGTGTCATCCGCAAACTTAACGAAGAGATTGGAGCTGGACGAAGGAGTGCAGTCATGGGTCAGCAGTGTGAAGAGGAGGGGGCTCAGCACACAGCCTTTATTTACTTTTTTTTTTTTTACCAAGCCCTGGAATGAAATGGCCTTCTTCCAACGTGATGACATCTTTTAACAGTGGCTCAAGGACTTCTTTCTAGCCATACTTCTTTACATCCACTTTTTTTTGGAAAGTACAGCTCAATAAATACTGTATATGCACGAAACTGTGGTGGAGTGTTCGCCAACACCCAATACGCTGCATCAATTTTGTGTATTTTTCTTGATGTAACCAGGGGATTGCAAATCTCAAAATCATCAACATAGAGGAGCTGAAGTGTAATATCCTCAGTGCCTGGGAGTCTATTTTATGTAAATTTCTTCAATCCAGAAAATCCAGTTTGAGTGGAAAGCTTTCTCCTGCACCACCTTCTCCTGATATATTTGAGTAATATTGCTCTCCATTTTCAGTAAGATGCGGCCTAATTGCAGTTCAGTTGTTTTACTTGAAGACATTATTCACGTGTCCTCTCATCTCAATACTTGGGGCATTTGGGGCCAAGTGGCACCGTATGGACCCCTCTTAAGCAGTAAGTGCAGAAAACAATGGTTTCAATTCATATTTTATTGTTCAAGTTTTTACAACACAAGTTATGCAGGGAGGGTGTGTTCGAACACTCCCGGTTTAGCACCATTTGCAGATTTTTTTTTTTAAGTATTTGGGGGGTGGAAAACATGCATTGTTTTTTCGCCACAATACATTTCAATGGGCATCATTTATACGTGGATTATCCCTATTCATGGGTCGGCCCGGTGACACCGTATTCAGGTAGGCCAACCCACAAATAGCGTAAATTGACGCCCATTGAACTAAATTAGGAAAAACAACGACAACAAATGGAGATACAGTTCATACATTTTCCCACCAACTCAATTCTTCAAAAAACTGTTCAACATTTGATACACAATTCCCTGTGAAGAAAACAAAAAAACGGGGGTGGGGACTTGTACAAGAGAGGCAAAGAAAAGTGTCAGCAGGAAGTAAAGATGATTAGAGTAAAGACAAAACTACAATGAAATCAGTCAACATTAAATGTGTACAATCATCAAACAGTAGGGAAAACATTGACAGCGTGTTCTTGAAGTCCGAAGTCATCTGAGCATTGCTTGCGTTTACATCTGAAGGAATGTTATTGAAGTTAATACAGTGTTTCGGGTCTTTTTAAGTCAAGGCGATGTCTGATGATTCAGCAGTCTCGATAACTCTGAAGACTCCAACTTTCTCCTTCTTCGTTCCCCTTTTTCCTTTATCTGCAATTCCACAGTTGTAAATTTATCAGTCAAACACGGCTACATTTTAATTCTTGTGCTGGGGTTGAAACAGAAACAAAAGCTCTCTATGATAGACATTTTTTACAAAAAGGTTTTTTTCATTGAATATTTTGTTCAGTTCGACCACACTGGATACTTGGTCAAGCTACCACAAATACATTTTTAGGTGCCTGTGTTTTCCCAAACCATTTGCATGACCTTTTACCCATTTCGATTTTTGAAGCAAATCATAACATCGGCCATGTTAGGAGCACACTGCTGTGCATATAAAGACTTTTATTATGCTGACCTACAAAATAATTCCTTCTCAAATTATTTCTTGACTACCCACCCAGCAAGTCACTGCGGTCCAATAAAAACTCCAGGTCTTTATTGCTGATCACTTGCCCACTTGATGATTGCACCTCTCTGGAAAGGGTAAAAGTGACAGCCAATGATAAGTTCAGTATAAAAAAGAAAGCATTACTGTCCAACTATATGACAACAACTTACTTCTCAATGCCTCTGTTTTGGAGCAGTTCCATCAGCTCATCCAGATCAATGCAGCTTTTAGTTTGGTTCAACTCTGCCCTCCCACCTTTGAACTTATCTGTGTTTAAAAAAGGGAAAGAAAAACAAAAAAAGGAAACTAATATGAATTTTTCTTTAACACAGTTTTGACATTTCGACTCTTTATTAATAAATACGAGATGACATGACTTTGTAGCTATTTATAACAAATGAATTGCCACAATGAATAGACAGTTTGCTTAACAATTTCTATTGAGACATTGACATGTTTGAGCAATGGTACATGAGCCAGCTAACATAAACTGTTCTCCACAGACATTATTTAAGAACTGCTTGTGCCTATTACAAATTGACTCACTCTTGTGGATGACCATCTGTTCCAGCTTTCTCTTTGCCGAGGCTCTCTCCAGAATCTTTTGGTCGACAGTGTTTGCTGTCACCAGACGATACACCACCACTGGTTTAGTTTGCCCAATGCGATGACAGCGGTCCTGAGCCTGCAGATCTGCCTGAGGGTTCTGAGAACGAATGATCATTTGAAAACCGCATTGGCACTGGCATCTGAACTTCATCTCAATGTCGACTCCTCTTGGTGACCTACCCAGTCACTGTCAAAAATAATGACCGTGTCGGCAGCTGTGAGGTTGATCCCAAGCCCTCCGGCTCTGGTGCTGAGCAGGAAAATGAAAACCTCTGGGTCTTTGGAAAACTTAGCCATCTGAAAGAAAAAAAAACGGAGCAGGGACAGTACTTTTATCCGCCCTAAAGCAACACAATTTGCACCTTCAGCGTGCACATCATGTGACTCACATTTTCTTCCCGATCACCATAGGACATGCTGCCATCCAATCGGCTGTATTGGAAGCCACGCAGATAGCAATAATCCATTAGAATGTCCAAGATGGAGGTCATTTGACTGAAGACGAGTACCTTAATAACAACAGTCAAGTGTTTTGTGTATTAGCGCAAATATCAAGTCATCAATTGAAACGTAGGTATCATCCATCAATTTCATTTTGTACGATACAACGGCTAAACGTTTCAGCAAAGTGCGAAGGCGTAATGTGAGGGCCAGTCCTAATTAACCTGTGCCTTTCACACACAGTGACAGAAAGCAGGACACTGCTTTGTCCATAGACTGTGTTCATGCAAAAATGGGCGCGGCACAGGCTGGGAAAAGGGATTGGTACAATATTGCGGGAGAGCGCAAATGACCGTGAGAAAAAGAACCGGCTGTCGCACAGAAAAAAAATCTGACCCTGAGCAAGTTAAAGTTCTAATTGACTATATTTTACTTGCCATTAAAACAAATGGACCAAATATTGGATTGATGTTGATTTAATTCCTATTCAATGTGTTAAAATATTGTGTTAATTTTCAATATTAAAAAAACGCTTATAGTAACTATGTAACACCTTGTTAAAATAAGCTTTTTTCACATTTTCAGGTAGTGGTGTGCCGCGGGATTTTTTTCAATGAAAGAAATGTGCCTTGGCTCGAAAAAGATTGACAAACACTGGGCTAAATGACGTTTGAGTATTGATACTATGCATCTGTGGGAGTGTATTTGTTATGTTGTGTTATCTGTGTTAAAAGTGAAACCTCAATAAAAAAATATTTGAAAAGTAAAAATGTGTAACAATTTGCAGTGTTTTGAATTAAATGTAGATTGAACATAATTTGCAAATCATTGTATTCGGTTTTTATGTTTAACATAACGTCTCGACTTCATTGGAATTGGGTTTGTACGAACCGCGTCGGGTACATTCAAATGATGAATTTGATCCAAACAATTTTTGTCTTCGTTCTCGTTCAAATCCTCTCCCAACTGTCTTTTTTTTTTTTTTGCTGTACGCGTCAGCCAAACGTCGATTCAAAACTATCATGTAGCGTACGGCAGCCCTTACGTTCTTGAAAAGCATCTAGACAAGAAACGAAGTCAACACTAATACAATTATTTACGTTTGTTCCTGGTTATACTGTTGAACTTCATTTCGTGTATTGTGCATTGCAAAGAACTTTGCGCTTTGTGGTATTATTTTATTGTTTGTTTTATTTGTACTTTATTCATTGTAAAAAGGTTCTACCTTTTATTTTAACGACATCCTCTGGATCATGTTTTAAATACCATATTTTTTCATCAACCAAAGTTTATACATTGAAAAATAAATGTAAAAAATTGTCATTTATTACCAGAAACAACAGAAAAAAGTACTGAAAATTGGTACTGTTGAGTATCAGTATCGATTCCCAAGTACCAAGAATTGGGACCAAAGCGGTTCAAATGTGAAAGGTGCCCATCCCTCGCTGGCACTGATCCTTTTTTTTTTTAACCAATCAATATAATATAATGCTGACATTCGGCCTTCATTGTAATGTTATGGAGATATATAGCAGTTGAGCATTTGGTGAGCATATATGGACTAGTTCATTTCATGAAGGTGCCAAAACACAGGTCGATGGCAGAACCGGCGGAGCCAATAAAGTGCACAGCAGTGGAGCTTTTCTGACTCAAGCACACGAGAGAAAAAGCCCCAAACCGTGATACAAAACCACTCATTTGGAGCTTAGTGTTGATTAGCAAAAATTATTTTATTAGCTAACTATATTATACATGACTTCACAAATGTAGGGTCGATCCCATTAAATTAATCATTCCAGGTTGGACAAGCACAGAGAGTTTTTTAAAAATGTTATTTCTTGAGAGGAAAACTATGACATGCGACACAAGCACTTTTCTCAAAACCATGGTGTTGTTTTACCTTATGTCCTCTTTTCTTGAGTGCAGGCAGAAGTCTGTCCAGTATGAGAAATTTCCCAGAACACTGTACCAGCTCCTCATCAATCTGCATCAAAAATGGGAAGGAAAGCTTTCATGAAAGAAAGTGCAGCACATGCATACACATGCTTAGGGGGCAGATTTGATGGAGCCCAGGGAGCCTTGCTGCGGGGCTGGGTGCAGATCAGTAAACCAAGTTGCCGAACAGGACATGTTGAAGGAGAAACTAAAACATAAATGTTTTAAAGCAAGAAGCCATTTTATGCGCCAGCGAGGGATCACTGTAATCTCAACTTGAAAGATGTGGTGTTGGCAAACTCAAGCAATGTTTTGAATGTTTTCACATTCAACAATGTGCAAGTACCCCTATAGGAGCTAGGAGGGGAAAAAACATCTAAACATAAATATCTTCTACCTTGAATTCTTGTGTGGCTGGATCCAGGGGGTATTCTACCAGGTAAGGGTGGTTACAGCATCGTTTTAGCAGCATGAGAATATTCTGCATCTTTAGGTTGATATGTGCATCCAAAGGGCACTGGATGTCCAGCACTGGAGAGGAGCTAAAAGTGAAGAACGTGGGAGCACCTTATCATATGACTGGCACATCAGCTTCTTTGGGCCAGTGGATTAATGACTGCATTATAAACAAGTCTGAAGGTTGGCTTCTGACCTCTGCTCCGGTTCCTTTTGGAGCTTTTCCAGATATTTTTCTAAGCCTGACGGTGTATCATCCTCTGCTTCAGCGTAGTCTACCTGCTTTCGACTGCAACGCTTTGGTCTGCCATCTGGCGTCAACCCTACAGGTGCTTCAGTCTGAAAGTAAGCAAGCAAACAAAACAAACATTTTTTTCTTTTACTACCATTCACAAGTGTGTAATTTGACAGGCAGCAGTGGCTTCTCTAAAACCAAAGGGTGAAGTAATGATGCCAAATACATTAAAAAATATTAGTATTTTAGTATTCTGCAATCAAATGTAGGCCGCACAGTCAAGTAGTGGTTAGCATGGCTGCATCACAATCCGGAGATCTGGGTTGAAATCGCCATTAAAACTATTGTTCGGAGTTTAGACATTGTTGACATCGCCGGTTTGAGTCTTCCCACATTGTGAAAATATTCATACAGTGAAACTCCTCTACAACGAAACCGACATGGGCGAAAATACCCCCCAGTGTGAAAACATTTTCATGCATGAAAGCCATTCCCACTTTTCTGCTCCCACTACAACGAAAAGTCCCCCTGTTTTTATCTGCTCTTGCCTCGCAATAAGATTCACTACAACGAAAACAAGCCTTCCGCAAAAGTCTAATCCAACCTCAGCATGCCACAGCGACCTCTTCTGCTTCGTTCAGAAACGGCAACAGCAACCACCACATTGGTTTACACATGTGCAGTAGTACAGGAAGTATGTTTCAGACGCAGTACGAACGTTGCATTGCTAAAATGGCAACAAAACGGACCTTTGCATCCCAAGGAGTTAAGAAAAGAAAAGCTTTAACGCTTGAAGACAGGATAAAAGTAATTAAGATGAAAGATGGAGGAAGCAAAATAAAATACATGATGCAAGAAATTGACGTAAGTGAAAGTGAATGCTGATCGTAAATCTCTCAATTTCTTTCCCTTTTTTTCTTTCTACGCTGGCTATATGAAATGTCAAATAAGTGTATGCTCATACTTATGCACTATTGGAATAAAAATCTAAAGTACACATACGTTTTTTGTGTGTGTTCGTGTTTACGTCTGAGATAAAATTTGCTGCAGTGAAAAGTCCCCTCTTGAGAAAAATTTCTTGCTGCCAACATGATTTCATTGTAGCGGAGTTTCACTGTATTAAGTTTAGTGAAAAGTCATTCAAACACCGGTGCCCAACCAGTTATTGCAGTCGACCGGTAGTAAGCAAACTGGTCCCAAGTTGTCCACGTGGGGTGTAGGTTGGAGAAAGGTGTGTCTGTGTGCGTGTTATTATATATTTTTGTGTTGGTGTACACTGCACTCCAAGTATCCTATCAGTTTAACTTTCACACACAAAAAAAAAAAAAAAAAAAAAAAAGATACAAAAACAAAAAAGGTCACCTTGCATGACCCGAATCACAGGAAGTTCTACAACAATCTACAATTGCAGCTAGCGATTAGAGCCGTTGAAATATATCGTTAAATCTAGTTTGTTTGACCTGCAATTCATCGATGGCATTGTCAAGGAATGGGAATCTGGAGCGACAGGAGAATCATTGTAAAACTGTACACCTGAGCTACGATAGTGATTTTCATGCATTAAACCTGTTCCAAAAATTCGTCCCATGCCTCCGTGTCACGTCTCCCACTAAGGTAAGCAGTGATTTCCTTTTCACAAACTCAGTCTCTCTTGGATCCAGTTTATTTTTCGGTTTTCATGTTCGGGTCCATTATGGCCATTGCTCATCATTGCAGCGCAAGCTCATGCGTGCGCTTGCCTTTATGCATGCAGGTGCGGTCATGGGTCGATTTTTTATTATCTGACACAAGTTCAGTACTTGTATTGCTCAGAAAAGTGTTCTTACTGTTTTTGATCTGTTAACCTAAGCACTTTTTATGGACCTGATGTTCTATTTGATTTTTATTTTGTAATTATTTGGTGATTTACAAAACAAAACAGTGATTTTCCCCCTGGTGGTCGAAACTAAAAGTTGCAGGTATGACTTGGGACTAGACTTAAATACAGCATAAAGTTCAAGTCTGTTTAAAAACAATAAGACTTTAAAATGCCACTTTTTTTGTGATGTCAATCTTTTGATCTGCCTCAATAATGTAATGGATTTAAAATGAAAATAGGGGTTTTCTCATCAATTTTTAGATAAGATTAAAATATAGATTAATTACATAAATTAATTACAGATCATAATTAATTAATATCACAATTTTTGTAATCTCTTGACAGCACTAGTTTTATGATGATGCCTATTCTGATGATCCATGGGCGAGAACTGCCGATACCAAATCACAGGGTTTAGCTGTAAAATGTTC